CAAGCACTGAGCATACAGTGTTTATTAATATATACGTTGGGTAAGGGCAAAACCCGTTTTATAAATTGATTTTATTGGTTTCTAAATTTTACTTGAAATTGTTGGGGAAATAGCCATGTCCCCATTTGCAGTCAGCACTGAACCCAGAACCAGCCTCACTACCCAGAAATGCCCACGTATTTGAAGTGCCAAACCCGCCTGATGCTTCAGCAACGGTCACCCAGAACTCCAGATCCATGTCCGCTCACGAACTCGCTGGGTCTGCCGCCCGGCACAGGCTGAATTGCTCATCATAGGCATGCCACCCAAGCCCGGAAAAATGGTGCAACACTGTGCGAATAGTCTCCGCATATTTCAGCAACTCCCCGGCCCAGGCAGGGTGTTTTTCGAGATAAACCGCCATGAAGGTGTGAAAAGAGGACAACCACTTATCAACGGAGTCAATTTTCTTCCGTGCTGCAGCCACCGGTTAAAGACCATGCAGCCTCCCTCAAGGGACGGCATCATTTCTGTCCCTCTATGGGCATGGGCTAGCGTAGTTGTTGCATTGTCTGGATATAGCTGGACGAAATTGACAAACTCGCCCCACCATATTTTCTCTTTGGTGGCAGCGGGCACTACACCCGAGCAATGTACCCGCGCGCATTGTCGGGATAGCCAATGGTACCCCAGGTCTAGTTACCGAAATAGCACTAATATTACTACCACTGCCAGCCGCGTAATCCCCCCCCACTGGTGACGCTGCTAAGCCCACCGGTGTCGATACCACTAGAACCGGTGAAGGCTACCAATGGTCCTACTCCTGGAACTGGAGGGGGGAGAGCAGCAGAACCACCACCCCACCCTGCCTGGCGGACGGATTCCAGCATCGCTGGGTTGGTCGGAGTGGTCATCGGCCGAAGACCTGGCAGTGCCATCTGCCCAGCTGTCTGGACTGGAGCTGGCGTAGTCATCACCGTGGACGTGGTGCATGGCGTCGCCATCATTTTTTCGGGCGGAGCTGTGAAGTCACCGGAAGTAGTACTACTAGCAGCGCTAGTCATCAGAGCCGGAGAGGGATCTGTCAAAGGAGCTGGCGCAACCCATGGGGTAGTAGCCACTGACATCAGAGGTGGGGCCCCGTCTGCACGTGCCCACGGGTGGCATCCGGGCCCTCCAGCACCGTGCTAGCATGCGTGTCCACTTGAGTGTTGACAGGTACTCCGGTGACCGTGTTGCTGCTCATTCCCGTAGCTTGCAGAGGGGCCCTGCGATGCCCCTTAGGCCGACGTAAATATAGGGAAATGATTCAATAAATCAATGATTAAAATAACAGATTTGGGCTGGGGTAGTAAATTGGAAAAAAATATTGTAAATGAGTGTAGCAGAAGTGTTTGTTACTCCAGTTGGTTGATGGATTAACGGCAGGCAAGAAGCAGAACAGACGTCTAAAAATTGTTGTGGCTGACTGCTTCTGTCACAGCTGAGTCAATTGAGATTAAAATCACTGGTAATGAGGCAGGGCTTGTTGTCATTACTTACATGGTGAAACAAAGACTAGGAGCATGTTGAGAATTTCTCAAAATTGGCATAGGGGGCCTTATATAGAACTCCAACAATAATATTTGTTAGCATTATTTAGTGTGATGATTTCTACAAACATTGATTCAAAGGAGTTGTTACCTATACTTTCTTGATCAGGTCTTGGAACATATTGGAGGTTAGGTTAGACAATATGTAAAGAGTGACCCCGCCACCAGTTTTAGCAACTCTGTTTCTGGTCAGTAAAATATATCTAGGTAGGTTAAATTGATTCATGCAAGAATGTGACCTTAGCCAAGTTCCAGTCAACCCAATTATAGAAAAATTATGATTCAATGAATGAAGGAAGGAAAGATATTACATCATGAAAATGTGTAGGCAGACTTCTAATGTTCAGATGCATAAGAGAAAACTTTTCAATGGGATCATTATTAAAATAATTATTAAAATGTTCAAGTGGATGACAACACAAGTTCTTAGTACTACTCAGGGAATTTTCATGGTCTTCATGGATAGGTAATTCCAGTGGGAAATCTAAATTGAAATCTACCAAGTATTTGACTCGAAGACCGGTCAGGAATCGACAGGTCAAACTCTTTGGGATCAAGCCAGTTGAATGGAAAAATGGAGCTAAGGCACAGGGGCATATCCATGTAACATCATCCTTGGATAAATTAAAGTAATCAATGAGATCTAAGTTAGGACATTTAAGATGAGTCCAAAGTTTACAACAATCACAAAAAATACCATTCTGGTTGCAGCTGACACTGGAGGGAGATTTAGTAGGCGTACATGAGCATACAGCAAAGACAAAAAAAGAATACCTGACAAATATAACAAGTCAAGTGCGAAAGAAGGATGGGATAAATAGCATGAAGTCACTCACTCCTAAAAAGTGAACTTACTTTATCCACATGTATAAAGATGGAGTTGACTATTATCATGTATGCTTCATTAAATCAGCATAAAATAAATAAAATATACCAGGTTAGATTCAATTCCTTAAATTATGACAAGTGTGTTCAACTGCAAACTTGACCAATAGCTATTCCTTTCTGGTTGAGTTGGGGTTAGGTGGCAGAGGAGAAGACTTTTGTCAGTTGATGAATAGGGCTCCATTCCAGAATACAAGTTTGTGGCCAGATTTGTACATGTATGCCTTTATACAGGACTTCCTGGATACTTCTTTTGGTTTTAACATGGACAACTGGTGAGTCCCGGACTACGTACATGTAGATCCCATGCTTGGCCAACATTGATTTTGCACATACATGTAGTAGAATTACTTGCCACTCTGGCCGGTAGATGAATTTAACCAAGATATGACGTGGTTTATCAATGGGGGATCCTAACGGGCATCCTGAGCAGTGGGCGTTCTCAATTTCTGGTGAGAGACTACTGTACGTTTTTCGGAGAGACTCTGTTTTATTTTTACACATGGGTACTCTTGAGACGCATTTGGTAGTTCTGGAATCCCACCAAACCTGAGATTGTAGCTCTCAGAGTAACTTTAATTCTCGTAACTCTTTTTGCAACATTTCCATCACTGAGCTACCAGTTGGTGGGGCACTTGTCATGCTTGTAGTTTTTGTACTCACAGGTTCTCCATGTATTGATTCACATGCATCACGTATGTCACCGGTTGACCCATGCGTGGTAGACAATGAGTCTGAAGAAATTACCGTTTTTGGGTCCTTTCTTGGAGGCATATTAAAGTTAAGAGTGAGCAGTAAGAGTTGAGTACATGTATATCTTGCTATAAATCTCCACTAGCATAGATGATGGCAAGAAATGTTGTAGATTGAGGTGGATTTCCTGCTGAAATTTTTGAAAACTTTACGGAGCAAAAGCTGAGTTCGTCACTCTATAAAGGACGCCCTCTGTGATTTGAGAATACATTTTCACGCGATACTATATGTCTCTGCGATCTTGACATCAATGTGATTTCATCGCAGGGGACCCAGGCTGTTTTCATCGCTCATGTGAAAGGGCCTTGAATATGTGTGAACTGCAACCAATCCTTTTGGACCATTCTCAAAGAGTTAACAATAGATATCAATCCATGACTAGATATGCTGCAATCTTAGTTAGTTCTTGTATGACCTTGCTCTCCATGCAATTCAGGCCAAATGCTATAAGCCGGTCCACATGTCATGTGGTCCAGGGACATGACATAATTTTGATATTGGCCAAAGTTGGATTGCGCAGTGGAAACTCGTGTTCTTTCATGAGGGTACGTGTACATGTACAAACCATGATTGCCCTCTGAGACAGTGTTCTGTTTCAGGTTTCGGTTGTAAGATGTGAACTTCCTGGTTGGAAAGGTAATGAATGAACACGTTGAACCAGCTGCTTTTCAGCGTGGGCGTGTTGAATAAAGATGTTTGGTCGTAATGAGTGCTCCAACTAGTGGGGAGGGTAACATCCATAGCTATAGCAAACCTCTGTGGGAAAGGCACCCATGTTCTGACTGATGATGCGATCTCGCTCTAGATCTCTGGTCAACACTTCTTCTGAATCTAACATGACTTCGTAAGTCATAAACTCGACGGATAGTGATACCCCAAGTAAACGTGAGGAAAGAGACAACAGACTTTCACGCACCGTTGTGATGACTTCCCTGTCAAATTTAGCCGAATAACGTTGATACAGTTTTTCTTGTTCTGCAGGCGGTAGAATTTTTCTATTTCTTTGACTGA